TCAGTTCTTACGGAATCTACCTTCTTGAACCAAGGAACATCTGCCTACCTTTCTTATAACATTGCCTCTTATATCTGATCCTTCAAAGTTAGCAACTACATTTCCATAACCTCCCAAGTTCTCTTCATATTCAAGATATACTTTAACAGAATCAGAAGAGTTAATAATTTAAGCAGCTAGAATGGTGTTTTGCAAAGTGGGATTCAAGGAGCGGTTGCATCAGAATTTCTTGAGGTGTTAGCTAAAGTGTGCACTGGATTCCCGGGCACCACCACAGACCAAATGAAATGAGAGCGACAGAGCTCAGCAATCCACATTTTAACATGCTCTTCCAGTGATTCATCTGTATTACTGCTTGAGAACCCTTGAATTAGTTGTGTTTTCACAGTATCCACATTTGTACAGAGCTTCAAATCCCTCTTGAGTCTGAAGCCATCTTTTGGAATCAGAGACCTGGATTCAAATCTTGCCTATTACTTTCTATCTAGGTACTTGTCATCAGGTTGCTTAATTTTTCCAGGCCTCAATTTCTTCACTGATACTGTGGATAAGAATATCTTCCAAGGGATGTTGCTGCAGTTAAAAAGTGAGCAACAATGCTACAGGAAGGCTATCATTCTTTACAATATTTATTGAGGCCTACATACCATTTACACAAGATGAATAAAGCATTAACAGGCACAGTACTGCATACCAGGTAAACCAGAATCAATGAAATGTGATCTCATTAATTTGTTTTCTGGTTTTTAGATGTCTCTTTAAAGCCTGAATAATAATAATAATAATAATTATTATTATTATTATTTGGTACTGTGGATTGAACTCAGGACCTTGCACTTGCGAGGCAGGCACCAGAACCACTGAGCTAAATCCCCGGCCCCAAGCCTGAATTATTTTTTGAGCTCTCTCTAACCTATGTGCTGTCCTGTTAACAGACCCTCCACTAAATAACGTAGATGTCTGCCATCTTCCTGAATTATCCTTTACCATCACACTTATCCCAAAGTCCTAAACCTCTAGCCTCGCCTCAAGTTCAATCTTTTCCAGCTTTTTCTCTAGGGTTAGAGCACCTAGGACCAAACGCTGGTTCTGCTGCTTACTAGCTCTAGGGCTTTGGTGCAGGCTTAACCTGTGTCTCCGTTTCTTCACTGGTGAATAGCGATAATAACAGTGCTTATTTCATGAGGATTTTGAGTATTAGATAGTAAACCTAGATGTCATTTTCTGAGGCTTCCTGATACTCCCCTGTCCCTTTCTGAATGAAGTAGGTTAAATACCCTGGTTAAACACTTAAACATCCTTATTCATTTCTTTGCAGCACTTACTATCATAATTCAATGCCTGTTTATCACAAAGAAAAGGATCATGTCTGTCTTACACTGGTCTGTGTGACCCTTATAGCTAGCACAATTCTGAGTCCGTAGCAGCATTCGTAAAATATCTTAAGTATCTGATGTCTACATAATTTTGTAAATCTGAGTATACTCTATTTTTCTTGCAAGATTTTTTTTTTTTGAAGAAGGTGGTACTGGAGATTGAACCCAGGGAACCTCTATCACTGAACTACATCCCAAGCCTTTTTAAAACTTTTTATTTTGGGACAAGTCTTACTAAGTTGCCTAGGCTGGCCCCAAACTTGTAATCTTCCTGCCTCAGCCTCTTCAGTATCTGAGATTATTACAGGCACATGCTACAGCACTAGGGTTAGCTCTCCTGGGATCTTACCTTCTTCTTTTACGTTCTTTTTTTTTGGTACCGGGGATCGAACTCGGATCCTTGCATTTGCAAGGCAGGTGGCAGAACCACTGAGCTAAATCCCCGGCCCTCTCCTGGGATCTTAACATCCTCCAAAAGTCAGTTTTCTATGCTGGGGGGCAGAACTATGCTCATTTTACCTTTAAAATATTTACAAATGCAAATCAAGAACAAGTACAGGCTATAGAAGTAGGTCAGTGGTAAGAGTATTTGCCTAGCAAGGGAGAGATCCTGGGTTTGATTTCTGGCACTGACTGATAAAAACAACAAAATAAAACAAAACAAAACCAGCAAATGCTTAACTTCCAGCTGTCATCTATTTCTTACTTCCTTATGTAGCTATCAAAAAAATTTAACATCACATATGTGGCTTATATTAGATTTATAAAGAACAGTATTATTTTATTTTATTGGTTTTTTGAGACAGGGTCTCATTATGTAGTTTGGGTTGGCCTTGAACTTATTATGCAGCCCAGGCTGGCTTTAAACTCACAGTGATGGGGCTGGGGATTTAGCTCAGTGGTTTCCCCACCTGTTGCGCAAGCGCAAGGACCGGAGTTCATCCCCGGTAACAAAACAAAAACAAAATTAAACTCACAATGATCCTCCTGTCTCAGCCTCCCAAGTGCTGGGATTAGAGATACATGCCACCACACCCTGCTACAACAGTATATTTAAAACAATCTGCTTAAAAGGTGTGCAGTATTTCCCCAAAATACCCTAATGTCTTTCCATTTTAACCCATGTGAAAACATACTCCAAGTTTTTCAGAGGTTTTCTCAATACTGATATTTCTCAAGCATTGGCTATTCTACCACCCTGTGAACATGTCTGATGCTTTTAAATAGGGTATAGATTCCTTAAAACAACCATATTCTATGTTGTTATTATACCAAATCCTAATAAAGTGGACATTTGTTATCCTATGTCTACTTTATTTATATTACAAACATTATGGTTAAGAAAACAAAGTTTGTTTGGAGGCTGAGGTAGGAAGATTTAAAGTTTGAGGCCAGCTTGGGTCATATTATACAGTGAGCTCAAGGCCAGCCTGGACTAGTGAGACACTGGCTCCAACAAAGAAACAAACAGCACAAGGTCTGGAGCCAGACTATTTGTTTTGGATTCCTAGTCTGCATACTTAGTATCTCTGTTTGAACCCAGGGCCTTTGCATTGACCTACAACCCCAGGTTATTGGGTTATTTAAAAAAAAAAAAACCCAGTTATTTTTTTAAATAATTTTTAAAAAATTATTAAATTAAAAAAAAATATTTTTATGGTGAGGCAGGAGTACTGTAAGTTCAAGGTCAGCCTGAACTATGTTTAGTGGAACCTTGTCTCAAACAAACCAAAAAAAAATTTTTTGGCAAATGGGAAGGGGACCAAGAGATGGAGGGAGGAGAGAAGGAGAAGCAGAAGAGAGCATAGAAGGAATCAAGATGTGTTACGTGGGCCGAGGATGTAGCTCAGCAGCACTGCGCCTGCCTGGCATGCTCCAGGTCCCGAGTCTCATTCCCAGTACAAAAAAAAAGGTGTATTATGTACAATATCAACTCTCCAAGATGAATGTAATTATCGTGTGCTGCATACATGTACCAATAAAAATAAAAATGTAAAGAAAAGATACGAATTCAAAGGTTTAGTAAGTGCTTCAACTTACATGAGGAATAATTTATAGGGAGGGCTCATTTGAAGTGCTAAAATATAAAAGACATTGCTCAAATCCTATTAAGTTGACATTCTTTTCCAATCAAGAAAATGCTATATGAACGTGGAATTTCTGGGATTATCCTTTTCCTTTTATTCTGAGACATTTACCTGCCAGACATCTAGTAGGCACTCAATAAATGTTAGCTTTTACCATCATCATTATTATTCCTGACACTGGCAGTTATTTTTAACTAAGAATTGACACTTTAGTTAATTTACATAAGTCTTAGTTAAGTCCAGAATTCTTATTTACTTGAGTTTAAACAGTATATTTCAATTATTGTCACTGATTACGTTTTTCTCTCCAAAATCACCATTTTATTTATTTTTATTTTTTATTTTTGGTACCAGGATGAAACTTGGGATCGTGCACTTGGGAGGCAGGCGGCAGAACGACTGAGCTAAATCCCCGGCCCCAAAATCACCATTTTAAATACTTATATTCCAAATATTATACATTTGCCATTGTTGCTAATAAAATTTATCTTTATTAAAATTTTTTTTTAAGGGGTCGGGGTTTTAGCTCAGTGGTTCCACCGCCTGCCCCAAAAGCACAAGGTCCTGAGTTCAATCCCCGGTACCAAAACCAAAACCAAAACCACAACAACAATGAAAAAACAAAAACAAAAACAAAATTAAAAAAAAAAACATTTTGAGATAGCTGTGTAAGTTTTTACCCAATTGCTCTGTGCCTGAGCTTCCTTGACTGAAAAACAGGGACAGCAATGACGTTTATTTCACAGGTTGAGAGGACTACTGTCAGCCTGGCATGGTGTCTGGCATACAGTAAATAGTAAACAAGTAATTACTGTATGAATCAATGCGCGTATCCTTCACTCTTCCCATCTACTGGTATAGTCTCTTGTAATATTGGGCATCTCTATTCAAATCCGAGATATTTTTGCTCAGATTTTCTAACTCCAAAATTCTGCTATTCCCCAACTGAGTAGTCATAGTTTTAAGAGAAGTCTTTGACTTCTGTTTTCTTCTCTGCAAATGAGAATAAATATCATCCCCTTCCTTGCACAAATCTGGCACAATCTATATAAAGCTCCTTGCAAATGGTCCTTAGCATTTAACAGACTTCATATGCCCTTTCTGGCTTAATACATGTGATCTTCACGACACTATATAAAAGACAAGTATGTTATAAAAAAGGAAAGAGGGTCTGGGAAGTTAAAACATGCCCGAGGTTGCACAGATAAATAAAAAGTGGTAGCGTCAATACTGGAATGAGGTCTCACTCCGATTCAAATGTTTTTTTTCATGAAACCAAAACTGCTTTTTTAAAAGCCTAAGCGCTGGAACGATATTAACTCATAATGTTTACTGCATTTCAATGTTTGAAGAAACGCAGAAACCGGCAAAATCTGCATACTGCCGTGATGCCCAATGAAACTGCAACAAGTAATCAAAACACAAGGTACATTACTATCGCTATTATTAGGTCATAGGGTCGGCTACACGGACGAAATTTCAGTAAACAAAGTGAAGCATTTCTCTTCTAGGCTCCCAATGAAATTGTGGACCGTGAGGGAAAAGTTTCGATGGCCCGGCCTTCGGGTCTGAGCCGGTCCCGGCAGAGGCTACGAGGGAGGACGCCACACCTGACCTTCAGATCCTTCCCCTCGCGTCTCGGGGCCCAGCGTTGCGCCCGATCGCCCCTCACCTCCGGCTCCGGGCGCTCCGAGGCCATCACACAGCCCTCCAGCGCCGGCCCGGGACCAAGAGACTGTTCCACGCCTGACCTCTGACCTGGTTATCTCGGCGCCTGGCAGGAAACGGAAGTTGGTGGGAAGTCTGCGTACCAAGCGTTTTGATTGGTGAACGAAGCCCTCTCGGCGGTGCCAGGTGACTGGAGAACCGGAAGAGGAATTCGGTGGGGCAGCCAAGGCAGCTGCAATGCAGGTGAGAACCCGCTGGGGCCTAATGGCAGCTAGTTAGCTTCGGGTGTCGGAACCGAGAGTGGGCTGGCTAAGACAAGTGAGGAGTTGTAGAGCCCACAGCTGTTAAGGGAAGGCAGAATGGGAAGAAAGAGGCGAGGTAAGCTAGACCGCGAGCGGCGCAGATGAGAGGTAGTTGAGCCGGGGTGATAGGAGAGGAGCAGACTCGGCTAAGTCGAGATGAAAAAGGCAGCGCAGAGTTGTTTGAGTGTGAGAAAGGATCCAGTTGTCATGTGAGAAAGCTGAGATGCAGGCGAAAAAAAGATGGCTTAAGAAAGTGGTGGGCTGGTTGAGTCCCGGAGCTAGGCTGTTGGATGCAGATGTAGTTGGGAATCTATAATTGCAGAGAAGCCCGAGAGCTAGAGGAATTGCAGGCCGAAGAGGCCGAAAGCTAAACTGTTTATTATCCGAAGGTGTGGGTAGAACCCAGGATCATACCCCTGACAGGCACATTGTAAAGTTTGCAGGACTGTTTTGCACCATTCTGCCCAGCCTGTGCTGAGTAGTTGTTAAGGATGAAGAAATGGAGTAGGACAGGAGACCGCAGGTGATGGGAAGGAAATGCTTTGAAGACGTCTAGCATTTGAAATAGTTTTGTCTAGTGCGCAGAAACATGCGCAGGTTTTCTTGGTTTTGCTTTTCACTTGTCAGCTTCTTTTTTTTTTGGTACCAGGGATCGAACTCGGGACCTTACGTTTGTGAGGCAGGCGGCAGAACCACTGAGCTAAATCCCTGGCCCTTGTCAGTTAGCTTCTTGCACTTGGTAGCTTCTCAAAATACTTACGGATCAGCGGAGCTTATGAAAGAGGCCCAGGAATACAGGAATAAATGAGTGCATATTAAGTCAGCAAGAAGAAGGTTGAAGCATCAGATGCTAAGGATAAATGAGTTGAAGGGACAGGCAGGGAGAGTGCTGAGATGGTATTCAGAGAAATCTTCATCTGTAGGCAGATTTTCCAGAGATTGTGTTGTTGACAAGAATAGCCAGGCTGTCAGGGTAGATTCTAAGACAGAGGAAGACTGTGCAATGTGCTAGAGAGGTGTCCATAAGATAATGAACTCAGGCATTAGGTCTGGTGAAAATTTCTCAGTGAGGGGGAGTAGGATGCACCTGACACAGAGAAACATACACAGGAATTAGGAGGTGATAAGAGAAGAAATCTGTTAGTGGGACTTGAGGTCGGGTGAACAAGTTGAAAAGTCTAAGGTTGATGCTGTCTGTAACCCAAATACCAAGATAGAAAACAACTTAGCTTGTTTGCTTTCTTCTGTATGTATCCTATTCATATCTGTTTGGGTAACCAACCTGTCCCTATTGGTGCAGAGAGAGGAGAAGCAGCTTGAGGCATCATTAGATGCACTGCTAAGTCAAGTGGCTGATCTGAAGAACTCACTGGGGAGTTTCATTTATAAGTTGGAGAACGAGTATGACCGGCTGACCTGGTAAGGGTTTCCAGGGCAGGGGGTGTGGTGTGGGGGGGAGCAGGACCAGACCTCCTGATGAACAGTACATCTCTATTGATATAATGGTTTATCTGTTGCAAACATTGTTGATTTGGAAAGGGCCAAGTTGCCCAACATTTGATAGGTGAAGTATGATTTGTGGATGCCATGACAAGGAAATAGAGAAGTGCCCAGTTTCTCAACCCAAATTGTTTCTAGCTTTTAATTCTTACACTTTAACTTCGCTGGCAAGGAGGTCCTCCTTGGTGGATCTCTTTCCACAGGTGTGGCTGAGTCTTAGTTCCAACCTACTCTAGAATGGTGACTTCTGTTTCTAGGCTAGAAAGGAAGCTTTTAACCAGTTTCTGAGTTTTCAGTTGTAACAGTCTAGTCATGGATCCTATTTTGCCATTGTTCCTCACTCCATTCGAACAGTGACCTGCCATCTATGTCAGAAACTGAAAGTGTATCCCTGTTTCCTAACCCCATCATCCCAGTTAGCCATTCTGGCTCTTGCTAGGCTAGTCATAGTGCTGTAAGTCTTAGGAGTAAGTTTGAGTAGTTTTACCCTGAAGACCTCTTAGAGATTATTTTACATGGAAGGAGTGGGACATTCTGACACCTTCTTACCACTCGCAGGCCCTCTGTCCTGGATAGCTTTGCATTGCTGTCTGGACAGTTGAACACTTTGAACAAGGTCTTGAAGCATGAGAAGACACCTCTGTTCCGTAACCAGGTCATTATCCCTCTGGTGTTGTCCCCAGACCGAGATGAAGATCTCATGGTAAGAAGAAAAAAGGGTACAACTTGAGAAATAAGTTCTTAGGGAAAAGTCTGGAGCACAGTTTTTGATTGGGTATTCCAGAAGTTCTAAATGTAGGGTAATGTGTGACAGTAAAAAGCAAGGACTGCAGTTTGGAGGTCTTGGTTTTTGTTCATCTGGAAGTGTAGGAGCCACTCCCCAAAAGTACTGTAAAAACCCCGAGGCCTGTGTCATCAAGACAAGGACCCTTCTTTTCTATTATCTATCTTAAAAAGAAGTCCTTTTGTGACCTTATCTCTTCCAGTTTTTGATGAAAATGTTGAAAAGAGAAGGGGGAGTTTAATTTTAGGCATGTTTGAAATAAGCATGTGAGAAGACAGAAATCACAGGTGAGGTGAAAGGCACTGTGTCCTGGGTAGCTAGATGTTATGTCTCAGGTTATGTTTGGAAATAAACCGTTTGGATCTTCTTGGAGTGCATAGTAGGATCCACTAAGATCTGTGTTACAGCGGCAGACTGAAGGACGAGTGCCTGTTTTCAGCCACGAAGTGGTCCCTGACCATCTGAGAACCAAGCCTGACCCTGAAGTTGAAGAGCAGGAAAAGCAGCTGACAACAGATGCTGCCCGCATTGGTGCTGATGCAGCTCAGGTCGGACCCAGTCCTTGCCCTATTGCCCCATTCCCATCCCATCTTGAGAACCAAGACATTATTACTCCTGTGTAGTAGTGATGTACAGTTGGTTACACCTAAGCTGCCTCTGGAAGAGCAAAGGAAGAAACTTCTCCATAATCACTTTCCGCTGCACTAATTTGTGTGTGTTACAGAAGCAGATCCAGAGCTTGAATAAAATGTGCTCAAACCTTCTGGAGAAAATCAGCAAAGAGGAGCGAGAATCAGAGAGTGGAGGTAGGAACCATTTGGTGGCAAAACAGAGGTGTATAAGATCTCTGGAATAGTAATGGTTTGGGAAGACAGTGAAGTAAAGGCATAAGAATGAACTGCTGCCCGGGAATTTAGCTCAGTGGTTTCACTGCCTGCTGCGCAAGCACAAGGACCCAAGTTCGATCCCTGGTACAAAAAAAAAAAAAAAAAAAAAAAGAATGAACTGCTTAGGAAAGGGTTTCCGTCCATATTGTTAGCCTTTTATATTTAATGCCAGCCCTGAAACTGGTAAAAGAAATGGACAAAGTGGAAATGGACAAAGTGAAAATTGAGAATACAGAGATGGACGTAAGGGTCCTCTGGCTCTTCCTCTGGGATATGAGGGAGTCTGGCTGCTGCTGAAGTTAGAACTCCAAGTCTTGGCAATCATCGCTGGTCCTCCAGCTGTTAGGTTCAGTCCCGGGCCAGACACATACTAAAGGGTCTCCACTTTTCTTCAGGTCTCCGGCCAAACAAACAGACCTTTAACCCTGCAGACACCAATGCCTTGGTGGCAGCTGTTGCCTTTGGGAAGGGGCTGTCTAATTGGAGACCTTCAGGCAGCAGTGGCCCAGGCCAGCCGGGCCAGCCAGGAGCTGGGACGATTCTTGCAGGAACTTCAGGACTACAGCAAGTACAGATGGCAGGAACTCCAAGCCAGCAGCAGCCAATGCTCAGTGGGGTGCAGATGGCTCAAGCAGGTCAACCAGGTAAGGTGACAGGAGTTGAAATGCAGCTGATTTTGAGCAGAGAAGTGGAAACAAGCTGGATTATCTGGGTCTCCAGCACCCCAGACCTGGAGATGTTTCCTTTTCTCTTCTGCATTATGGCTTAGAAAACAATTTTCAGCAGTAAAGAAAAATCTTATCTGAGACTTTGCAACAGGTACTAGAGAGTTAGGAAAAATTTGAAATAAAAGAAACCGCTCTTAGGCTGGGTGTGGTAGTGCATGCCTATAATCCTAGCACTCTGGAGGCTGAGGCAGGAGGATTGCCACGAGTTCAAAGCCAGCCTGGGCTAAAAAACAAACAAGCAAACAAAACAACTGCTCTTGCCTCCCACCCCCATCTCAGACTTCTGTCTCAACTGTCCTATTCCATTTGCTCTGGTTTAGTTGTGTGGTTGGTGTTTCCTTGTAGGTAGAGAGATCGGTGGTCAGATCATAAAACTATTTCCTGGGTGCATCAGGAATTAAGAAGCAGGCAGTGTCCCAGGCTTACATGTATTCTTTGTATCTTGTTTGTTGCCCATGGCATCCTGCCTTTTTTTGTGCCCATTTTTAGTAATTATGAAAACAGTTTGGAGGAGTTCAGATGCAGGCAGCCAGAGCTATTTCTTCAAGGCATCTAGGAAAGGACAACTAAAACGAGAGAAAAGCTGCTGGAAATGTCGCCCCATCATAGAGCTCTTGCCTAGCATGTACAAGGCCCTGGATACAATCTCCAGCACCACAAAAACAAAAACCCAACAGAAAACATAATACTCTCTTACCTGTGACCCTGAACAGGCGGTCACACAAGTTTAGCTGTCTTTTGGGGGAATAGATGAGCAGAAAAACGTGCCGGGGTATATTCTCATTCCTACTCGTCTCCCAGATCACCCTTTTCCTCCTAAACACTTTTATGGAGGGAGATGGAGGACGAACCATACCTCTGTGCTCTGCCAGACAGGGTCACATGCCAGAGAGATTTTGAGATGTTAAAGGATATTAAGAGGAGAAAGCCAAGGAGGCCACATTTCTAATTTATTGTCAAAACGTTTGCCTTATTTCAGGTGTTCTTTCTTTGTGTTCCTTTTAGGCAAAATGCCAAGCGGAATAAAAACCAACATCAAGTCTGCTTCAATGCATCCATATCAGCGGTGAGTGTCGATGGCGGCCTCCTAGGTGACCTTGGCCAAGTTGGGTAGTGAAATAATCTTTTGCTCAAGGCTCACCAGCTTGGGTACAATAAAAAAGAATGTGGCTTTCAGCAACAGACAAATCCCTGCTCCACCATTGACTAGCTTTGTGACCTTGGGCAAATGGCTTAATTTTTCTGAGTTTGTGAGCCTGTTTTCTCATTTGTAAATGGTGGTAATACCTACCTCATAGGGTTGTTGTGAGGATTGAAATGAGGAAATGAATGTAAAACACTTAGCACAGCATACGAAGTAAAAGTTACTCAATAAAAGAACGTTTCTGTAGCCACTTCTCCACCTTGCCCTCCACAGTCCAGAACTTACCCTGATTGTATACTGCTCTATGTCAATGGCTAGCTGATGCACACAGGATCAAATATGTCTATGCTTATTTTGTACTGGCAGAAACTGTAGCAGCCCGTGTATCCCTGGAGGGATATTATTTCCTTAGGTCCTCCTGCCCAGGTTTCATCCCGCTGTCCCTCTTAAGCTGCAGGAGAGGAGGCTTCTGGGCCAGGTTAAACCATCCACTTAGAGCTGGGCCTGTACTACTCTCCATCCTCTGGAAACCAATTCACACTTCTCTAGGTAAAAGTCCCCATCCTTTATCCCACCCTTACACATGAAGGAAAATGTCAAGGGGCTGATAGTTGGGCAACTTCTCATGCAGTGGCTCTACCAGGCAGAACTATATGAGAAAGGGTTCTCCTGTAGCATATATAAAAGCCCCTTCTTCTTCTGGGCTTATTTTTCTTAATTTGGGGGGAGCAGGGAATTGCACTTAATATTGTCTTTTATTGGGATTTAGTTGTCCTCCTAATAGTGGCTAGTTTCTCCACTCTAGCCAGGATGGCTTTCCTCTTATTTCACTAAGCCTATGGCTCAAATGAGAGTCAGATGCATGGTAGGAGGGAGCAGCCTACCCTTATAAGGTTGAAGAGCAGAGCAGTTGGACGATACCTGTCTCAGTACTCCATTGTGGCCGTGGAAAGGGGTTGAGTCAGCAGAAGTGTACTAAGGATTTCTTTATTAAATAAAGTTATTTAAATCACTGTTCACTGACTCAGGGTTGTCTCACAGCAATTTATGACAGAGCTAATACAGGGATGAGAAACACTTTCAGTAGTGCTCCAAGGCAATTCTGATTTATTCTCCATAAAATGTTTCCTTATTTTTAATGAGCTTTGACCTAGAAACCCTGAAATTTCCTTCCAACTTTACAGCTGCCTCTTTTCTGTTCTCTTCTGTTATACACTGGTAGTTTGGCCTTTGCTCCATACTAGGCAGTATTCTGCCAGGCTGTGGCAGCAGAGGCTTGGAAAAGTGATCCCAGATGTTTGTTACCACCTTTCCTGTTCCATCAAGGCCAGGAATGGTATTTCAAAAAGCTCTGATTGCAATACATTGCAGGAGGGGTGTCCTGTCACCAGCTCCAAGACAACTCCATATCATCCCCTGCTTTAACAGTCAGACCCAGCAGCCGAATCAGGTGTTACCTTCTCACCTCTTCCCTTCCCAACTGGAAATGTCAGAGCTAACTGGGATATTGGGTAGAGCCCCAGCTGTAGTTCTCTAAAACCTCTCGAGCAGCTTTTGGTGACTGCTGTTCTTTGCTCCACCCCAAGTTTCTTTGTTGTCCCAGCCTGATACTGACTTCATTCCCAATATACTATTGAAATGGACTCTCTTCTGCAACCAGGAATGTCCTTGCCCAACAGGAACAAATCCAGGACATCACCTACATCTTATGCACTTAAACAAACACTTTTAATTCCAGGGATGCTTACACTTCAATATTTGTCACTGCACATGCTCTTATTTCCATCCTGCCTCAGAAAAAAGCACCCCTGGGTACACAAACCTCTTGCATCTCCCACCTTGGGGCCCATACAGCCTCAGTGGAGGGAATGTAACTCCCACCCCTAGCACTCAGTCCCTTGGGAGGAAATGTTTATGGTGTTTCCTTTGAAGAAGACATGACCTGCTCAGATACTGGATATGTAAAAGGATATTGTTGTCCTGCCCTGGTAGTGTGCCTCTGTCACTGACCGCCCTGTTCTGCTTGGGGATTGTGTTTTCTCCTACCTTTGGCCTCTGGAGAAAGGGATTCTCTCAGATTTTTTTCTGGATGGAGAAAGAAGCAGAGCTGTGAAACCCCAAGCACAGTTCATCCCACTGAAGGAAAAAGCTTGTCAGATCAATGTCAACTTAGAGCTGATTGCTTAGGATTTCTTCTGTAATCTTCCCTGAGGCTGGTATTTAATCACTGCCGCATATACCTTTGCTCACTGCCCAGCTCACCTCATTCTCTTCTTGTGTGTATTGCTGCCCTACTTAGGTCACCTCACTCAACCATATATGGTTTTTTAGAAAAGAGCTAAGAGATAGGTTGCAGCCAAGTGCCCCTTCTAGCTCCATAACGGGTCCCAGCGTTAGGCCTGAGCTGGAGGGGATGTGATTGCTCACCTCCTGCCACTGCTGAAGGGATGCGGGTGAACTCTGCAGGAATGCCCCAGTGCAAGGCCCTTTTCCCACCCCCTTCCCACCTCCCCCAGGCAGCTGGAAACAACCTCTCCCTTTGTCTTAGTTTCTTGTACAGAATAATTCTCCTTATGGACAATGTATTCTCTTGTGTCCTGTGGACACAGGAGCTGTGTGAGCTGATCCCAGCACCAGGCAGAACGGAGGCTGAATCCTTCCAAATGCCCACCCTGGGTCAGCTCCTGATTACTGTCCAGAGGGACTACTAAGGAGTGACTATTTCAGATTATGGGGGAAAGCCTTTGGTGGTTTCGAATTGGTCAGGAATAAGACAGGAATTGTAATTCTTTCCTGGTCAGCCCTCAGACACTGAGGGTTTACAGTGTCAACTTACAGAGGCTTGATGTGACTATTGCCTGAAGAGTCTTGAACACACTTGGGCTAGCACTTGAAAAGGATTTCCCAGCCTGCAGACAGCTTCCTGGTTAGAACAGAAGGCAAACTCTGAGCCTATCTGACATGACCGTGGAGCTTCATCACTTCAACAGAGAGGACAAGCTGCCTTTCTTCTTCCCTTCAACAACTTCTAACTCTTGTTCTTGAATTCCCGCTGTCACTGAGGCTGTGCTCTCTCAATGCATCACATGCTTTCAGGTTGTCAGCCACCATTGGACATGGCAGCTTCCCAGGACACAGTGTGGACAAGGCTCCTGATTTCCGTGTGCCTCAGGTTTCCCACTTGAGTGATCCCAGTGCCTGTTCTACCTCAAAAGTCTCTGGCAGTGATTCCCAAGCCTACTTGTCCCCATGCATTTTCGCTTTGTTTTCCTTACTGCAGGACCATGTCATATAGATAAGCCAATGTTTTCCTAGATTATCCCCTAAATTCAAACTATTCCTAAAGTTCACTTTGTTACCTACAACTTAACATATCAACATCCCTGTAGACTACTTCCCTAACATTGTTCTGGCTTTCACCTCATTCCCTGGTGCAGATTCAGCAAAGAGGTAGTAAATTATTAGTCATGTAGATATCAGAAGTCACCTCAAACCCAGACATCTCTTTCCTGGGCAAGATATGTGTACAGACTCCTCCAGAATAGGCACAAATTGGGCCCGGGATGTAGCTCAGTGGTGCTGCTCCTGCTTCAAAAACGCAAGGTCCTGAGTTTAATCCCCAGTACCAAAAAAACAAAACAACAAAAACAAAAACAGAGCAGAATAGGCACAAATTTACGCTTTTTCCTATCTTGCTGGGCCCAATATAAAGTATCCAGGGCAGTTCCTTTTCTTTCTGCCTGCAACTCCGGTGGCTTCCTTTGCTTTCATCCTAATTCCCTAATTTGTGAATTTTTCGATTCTTCACCAAGTTCTGCCCACACTCCACACATAGACCATCATTTGTTATTTTTCTAATTTCTCTGGGCTACACCTATTTTCATGTTTCCCCCTAAGTTAATGTTTTTTTAGTGTCTCTTCCATGTTAAAAATCCTTCTTGACCCTGTGTGTCCCCTGTCTGACTCATAGGAACATTGAATTAAGGATCCCATAACCACCGTCTCTTCTACCTTCCATTCCCTTTTCAGCCCCTGTAATTAGGCTTCTGTTTCCACCATTCTACTGAATCTATATGAGAAATATTGTTGACCTAATGGCTAAATCCAGAACTTTTAAAATTTTTCTATTAATTTTTCCATGGCATTTAACAGTACTGACCATTTCTTTAAAGTCTCTTTTTCCCTCTTTTTTTTTTTGGTACCAGGGATTGATTGAACTCGGGACCTTGAGCTTGCGAGGCAGGTGGTGGAACCACTGAGCTAAATACCCACCCCCTCCCTCCTTTGTTTCTGTGGTACACATTACCTTGTTCTCCCACCTCTGCCCATTTGTCCTCTGCAGCTTTTGGACTTCTGGATTTCTGCCTGCTACTTAAATGTTGTTATACTCTAGTCTAGGACTAGTCCTTAACCCTCTTTCCATCTTATGCTACCTGATGTCTCTGTGACAACCACTTTCATATATATAAGCAAGTTTTTTTTTCAGCCCAGACCTCTTTGCTAAGCTGCAGATTTCCATTGGGTGTCTCTACCTACGTAATCCACATGTACTTCAGGTTCTGAATTTCCGAATCAGTCATCCTTTTTTCCATGCCTATTTCTCTTCTACTTTTCCTGAACATTACTTAAGCCAGGACTATGGGAGCCATCCTAAACTATTCCCCATCCATGTTCCCAGCTATCCCCTAAAACCAGTGTGCTACCAAATTCTATCAGTTTGTCTCCCCAATATCCATCTATCCTGCCCTTCAGTTTAGGCTTTGGGATTCTCAATAAAAATTTTGTTCAGACTTCCTATCTTCAGTTCTAAGGATTCTAGCTTGACAGCTCTTTCTAAACTGTATATCTGGCCACATTACTCCATTAAAATCCTTTTGATATAGTTCATTCCTTATATTTTTCAAACTGGGGCCCACATACCTGGTAGATTTGTAGGGACAGTGTGGCAGGGATACTGAGAGTCACATGATAAAATCATCCTAGAATGTTCATTTTACTTGAGGGCAAGTAATTTAAAATGGAATACAAATTTAGCGTACATGTATGCATTATTAAGAGAAAATAGACTTCAAAGAATTCATGCTGGTCTGAATAGCCTCAAACTAAGCCAACAGATTCCTTCCTTGGAGCCATTATAGTTATATTTATTTACTTTCTTTTTGCCATTACATTTATTTCATTGGAAAAGTGCTTTTAAATAGCTCACATTTCCTGGAAAGGCAAATAAGTTTCTATGATCTGGCCCCTGCCTCCTCCTGATTTAACTTCTGTATTGTCTTGCCACCTACTTAATTCCAAAAGCCATACAAACTGCTTATATTTTCCTGAATGTAAACAGGCTCTTTCAAACCTTCATTCCTTTATTTCCACTGTTCCTCTACTTTGCTCTATCATTCTGTCTGATGAGTACCTAATCATCATTGAAAATTCAGCTCACAAGTCTCGCTCTGTGAAGCTTTCTAATATCCCTGTCTCTCCATAACTCAATGCTACTCCCAGCAGGAAAAGTCAATTAACTACTTCTTTATGTTCCACTTTGGTATTTTGGTATTTTGTACAGACTTCCTCTAGCTCCTGCCACACATTATAGTCCATCAGGTTCAAGCACCCTGAACTGTCAAAGAGTTTGAATTACAGTTCTTCCATCTGAGAACTATGTGATTGTTGGCAAGATGATGTGTGTGTCTGGTATACCATAAACACTACCAATAGTGGTGCTACTATTATTATTTTTATTATGATTTTACTTTGGAGAGTAATATAAAATACGATTTTGGTTGAAAGAGCAAG